CGCACACGCGAGCTACCGCTGTGCCCCAGCAAGCTGGTTACGGCTGCTGCACCCGCGGTCAAAAAGACGGCGCCGGTTGCGCCCACGCCGGCAGCCAAAACCACAACAACAGCCAACAGCAGTAACAACAGCAACAGGGCTAAGACCACGACGACGCCCTTCTCCGTGGAACTCAACCTAGCTGGACGTGGCAGAGGCCACGTCGCTTCGCATTGCGTGCCGCCGAGCAATTCGAATAATTTCGATATACATGTCGTGGATTTGGATGAGCGTAGCCCAAGTGGCGCTGCACTCGATAAGGATAACACATCCGACATTAGCTCCATACTGAGCATGAGTCCCAAGCGGCCAAATCATTGAATGCGTCGCTCGCGTGGCCTCTTGTGATAAACCCTCAAAAGCACGCTTTGGCTTTAATAGCACTTAAAGCGTAAACTCTCCTTGCCATCCAAAAAAAAAATACTATATAGCAATAAAATAAAATTATATGCATAAACAAATTTGAAGTCAAGCGTCTTTTTACATTCATTTGGCATTCATTACGAACTTGAGCTTATTTATTCACACGTAATTCCCATGCACAAATGAACGCATCGCAAATTGAATTGAGAGTTGAGTTTTGGGGGGGAATAGCAGACACAAAAATACTCTTACTAATTGAGAGTATAAAGATTTGCAGGCTGAAGTTAGGAAAATAATAAAATACATTATAAAACAGCATTAGTAGATGTGGAAAGTCAGGCTTACGAGCCGAATTCAAGGCGAGACCCTGGATCAAACCAGAACCGATCTTTGTTTATTTTTGCAAGTCATTCATATCACATTTGCTATTTTAATTAGAATTATATTTGCTCCCTCAAATAAACTCAGAAATTTATTGCCTTATTTACACTAACATAATATAAAAACCCTTAAATATGACATAGAAACTAAAACAAAAATAAATAATTTCCTATAGCAGGTACTTCCAACCTGCGCCACAGTTTTACATTTTTTAATATTGTACTATAAGCCGAACCTAAAACCAAACCAGCTCCCAAAAAAAAACAGCTCAGCCTTAACCTGAACCAAAAATACATTTCCTTTAATGTTTTAAGCCCAGTTGTTGGTTCGAAATAAAAAACGTTTGACGTAAGCCCAGCTCTTGTTAAAAGTATTGGAGCTGGGTCATCGATATGAATATATTTTTGTGTTATTCAGACCATAAGGCAAATCGGAATATCGCTCGCAAAGACATATGGCAAAGCACGAGCGCGACTTTTATCAAATACAAGCTACCTAAGAAAATTTATATGCCCCGCTGACAAGTTCCCCCGGCTAATAAGGCCACCAATATAGCCATTTACATATAATCGTATGGCCTGGACCGGCGCAAACGCATGTCGAGGGGCGATTTCTCTTCTGGATGGTTGATTTTTATGCGTCTGCCCGGCTGGAAGGGCAAGACGTGCGTAAATTCTTAAGCTGGAAGCATTAAAAGCAATAAAGACACAAACAACATAAACAAGTTGAACAGAGAGCTAAGCGTTGCGCCAAGCCGGAGGCTATTGAAAAAGGAACAAGCAGAAGAGGATGCAGAAAAAAGAAGCTGGGGAGCAAAATTACAAATTCAATTTGATGTCATATCAATTGATTTTGCGATACATCTTGTTGCCTTTGTCGCCGGCGTCGCTGACAAGTTGCAAACACAACGCTAACTTTTTGGCTTCGGTTGGCATTGTGCAGAGTAGGGACATTCCCTCTTTTTTATTTTTTTATTATTTTTATTTATTTTTCTCTGCGCCTGGCATTTGATTTTGATGACGCGTGGCACTTTTGAAATTTATGCTCTACTCTTAACATACTTTGTATGCGCTCAAAGCCACGGCAAACATGATGAACGGTCCAAGTAGCTGCCGCAGAGTGTGTGCTGAATGGTTGTGTGTGTGTGTGTGTGTGTGTGCGCGTCTCCTTGTATGAGCCCCATGAAATTTGAAGCTTTTAGCTGATTCGCTCTGTCAGTAGGGGATAAGCGCAGGTATTTTGAGCACGCACCGGAAAAAAGGGAGAAACGGGCATAAAAAGGTAAGTTCTTGGAATAAATTAAGACAAATATGAAACCTTCCACACAGACTAATATGTACTTAAAAGTATTTTAATATGATTCCTCAAGCCTGAGGCTTTCACAATTTGATACATTTGAAATAGATAACGAATTTAATCACAAACATGGATATAAAAGCTCAAAAGCATATACTAGGAAAACATAGTTAAGAAATTCATAAAAAAAAGAGTTGAAACGTTTTTCTGCTGCGAATCCCAAGCATCTTGTGTTTTACTTGAGGATATAAAAAATACTTCAGTTATTATTCTAGAAGGCGAGGAATTTCTAAAGAGTATTAATATGCAATGAACCTTGTAAAAAAAAAAATAAATTCAACACAAAAAGCTAAAATTATTAACATAACATATACATAAATATAAGTAAAAAAAAATTAGGTAAAATATTTTGAAACTAATTTTACGAAAAGAATTTTTGTAAAATTGTTTTTAATATATTATTAATATAATCAGAAAACTATATATAAATTGGATTGTTAATATTAGCAACATATATATGTAGACTATATAAATAATTTAATTTAATTAATTTAAACTAAAATAATAACAGTGAAAATATATAATTTAATTAATTTTATTTTTAAGTTCTCTTCAATTCGACTGTAAAAAATTAAAATTGATTGACTATTTTGAAAATTACCTTGGTATTTGATTACATGGAGCAATTCTAGCGAAATTTGTTTACCAGAATCCTTCAAGTGCTCTAATATACCATTTAGTAGCTGCTGGTGACATCCACACAAGTGCCGCAGTGTCCAGTCTGTCAGTTGATACGCATTTGGCTGTCAACGTCTGTTAAACAGCATATTTCACTGCCAATTGGTCAGGGCACGCAGCGTGTGGCTCAACGAGACGCCAAAAGCGGCCCATAAATATGCTACACGAATATGTCATAAACTATTAGCAGCCACGTCCTTTCATATGGCAGCTGACAAAGAATCTGTACACACACACATCCAGTTGCCGCATGCCACACAGCTCGACATTCATTGGCCAAAACTTAGAGAGCGACAAAGGGGGGTTGTGTCCTGGGAGCGGGCAGGATATCTGCACGCCATACACGTACGCAAACATCTATCATATTTCCAAAAAAATACTGATTATCATAATAATGATGTGGAGCTTGTTAAGAGCTGTTGCTGCTGCATTGAAAATGTTTACTTAATTTGCAAAAATTCATTTTATTTACACATTTTTGTTGTTGTTTTGTTTAAGAGTAGATCAGACAACAGACTTACGAGTTGCATGTACATGTGGATGTCTTTTTAGAGACCATATATATATTATACACTTGATTAAGCATGCATTACAGTATTACGATTACATTTAGCACTAACAACTATATGTCTAATAGGAGCGTGTCCTGGTCACACATACATATACACAACATGAGAGATGGGGCTGTGGGATCAATTGCTGGTTAGCTTCAGTCGGACCGCAATCCGTTTGCATTTCCACATCAGCTGCGTCTCGAGTATACTAAAGGACATGGCCACCAGGACGAGGCCGAGCAGCAGATAAGCACAGCACGCGTACAGCTGCAGTTCGGGTCCATTGAAGCTCCGTGCGGGCACAAAGTCACCGTAGCCAATCGTGGAGAGCGTGACAAAGCAAAAGTAGGCGCCATCCACCAGCGACCAGTTCTCCCACAGCGCAAAGATAACGGTGCCCACGCATATGTAGCACATTAGTATGAAGAGCACCAGACTGATGGGCACCTGTCGCTGCGACTCCTCATCCTCATCGTCATCATCATCATCATCTTCGTCTTCCTCATCATCCGCCATCTGGTGCTGTACACACTCAAGGGAGCCATTGGGCCGGCTGGGCCTTAGCTTCTTCAGCACAAACTGCTCGCTGCCATGCTGCATGTACTCCTCGTCGTCGGAGGTCTCCGTGTTGGCGGTGGCATCGTACAGCGCCGTCGCATGCTTCTGACAGCGACGCGTCAGCAGCAGTGTCTTCCGATTTAACGGCTGCAGCGTATGCCGATTGAAGCTGGCAGCTGTCGCATTTAGCAGACCGCGCGCCTGTTGCCCGGTGCCGGACTTCTCGGCCAGCGGCAGCTCATGGGGCAGACCCAATGCGGCGCAGCCGGAGCTCGCTATCAGCGGCACACGCGACGGTGTGCCATGCGGGCAATTGCTATGAAATAGAAGTGATGAAAAGACAGGCGTAAGTAGAGGAAAACGTTTAACAAATATTTACGCAGCGTTTGGCCATAAAACGGCATCAATTAAATATATCTATAAGCAGGCCAAAGCCACACAACAAACAGCCAAAGGGCATCAAAAAAAGTAATGCCCAAGCACGTCTGCCAGGCGCTCACTGGCCAATCAATAAACCATAAAAACAAACAGTTGGTGCGTCATACGTGGCGTACGAGCTATTTTATATTGCGTATACGCCGAGTTGACCAAGTGATTTAGCTACCAGACAGCTTTAAGCGAGATTTAATAGAATTGAACCAACGCTAGATTGTAAATAGGCAGGCTTTCAGGTGGGCGTGTCTGTTAGCTGGGGCGGACCATGGCCCACGGCCTTTAAGGGTTAAGCCAATAATTATTTATTTTGATCAGCTATCATATTGGGTTGATGGCGATGACGTGTTCATTGAACCTGCACATTATTTTTCACTTACTTTAAGGTCGGGAGAATAAGTGAATTCATAAATATATAGCGTATTTTCTTTTGTATGCTTTTCCAGTTGTTTTTCGGCTCGCATTCACACGGGGAACTCAACTCCTGTATTTTTGTTAATATTGATTTTCTGTAATGCAACTCTCATGTCGCAAATTGGTTGTACAACTTAACTTTTTGTCTGCATAAACAAATTCAACGTTTTAAGAGTGAATATCTATTGATTGGAGTTTTATAAATCTCATCAAAGTTGGCCAAGAAACTTTAGTTTCACAGAGCCTCAGCTCGAACAATTCGATAAATTGTGTACCCGCATTTGCAAAAGTGAACCCTAGATATGTGACAAACACTTTGCCAGTCAGCTGACAGCCTTTAAATTATCCAATCAGTGCAACAAAGCTTTATCTGATTCATTTTAACGACCTTTTGTTTGAATTGAAAGTATATATTCCGAGATCTTTTATATAACAGCAAACATTTTTATATTTCCTTATTTCAAGATCTTTAAAATGAACCAGCCGAGCGGCATGCCTGATGACAAATTTTTGTGGGATGTATTTCAACGTGTTGACAAGGACAAGAGCGGGTTTATTTCCGCTGATGAGCTGCAGATGGCGCTTTCGAATGGCACTTGGTCTGCCTTCAATCCGGAAACGGTACGGCTGATTATTGGGATGTTCGATCGCGAGAATCGTGGCACAGTTTCCTTTCAGGACTTTGGAGCATTGTGGAAATACGTAACCGATTGGCAAAATTGTTTCCGTTCATTTGACACCGACGATTCGGGCTTTATTGATAGGCTGGAGCTAAAAAACGCACTCACAACCTTTGGATTTCGGCTAACGGATCAACTGATTGAAATCTTACTTCATAAATTTGATCGGTTTGGTCGAGGAAATATTCTGTTTGACGATTTCATACAATGTTGCATTGTGCTATACACACTGACAGCAGCCTTCAGGGAATACGACACAGACATGAAAGGCGTCATAACCATAGACTATGAACAGTTCCTACGAATGGTATTCGCACTTAAGATATAATAATGCGATGTGTATTTAGAAAAGTAAAATTATTCCGACACCCTAAAAATATGATGGAAATAAAATTTTCATGCAGTGAAAAGTTATCTTTGTATGCGAGTATGCGAGCACTTGGGTTAAATCAGAATTAATTATCATACGGAGAATATCAATATGAAGAATTATTTTTTTGTTGCCTCATGAAATAGTTCAAATTCAGTTTGGACGCGGCTTAAAGACGATTCAGCTTATTGTATTTAAATGAATATATTTATATTTATATATATACATATAATCAAATCATAGCCAAAACCATAAGTGTTAATCAGTTGTAATGTTAAGATTTCCTTTTGGGTGAAAAGAAAATAGTAGAAAGTAGTCTTTTTTTTAACCTAGCCGTATAAGTTTTCTTTCCCAAAACGACATTATGAACCGGCCTGGCTAAGGTATCCAAGTCCAGCGAGAATTTTTATATTTGTCACTGACTTATCAAAAGTAATTGCTGAGCCGGGCAACAATGGGTAATTTTTTTGTATTTAATATTAAAATTCAAAGGATAGACTTTTGAAAATGAAATTTAGCTTCTTTGTCAATAATATTTTCTAAGTCAGTAAACCATTTCGAAAGTGGTGGAAAAGCAGCTCAGATTAAATATCTCATCCTCGCTACTCTGGGAACATCTGCTGTGTAGTTACATTTCCGAACAGATGAGCTTCAAAAGAAAACTCATTAAAAAATAAACACAAAATGATGCTTCAAATCGTGGAGTAAGCGAAGCGCAACCACTTATAAGGAATAAAGGCCTATTAAAGCATGATAAAAGCTACGACGCTCATGCTAATGCATATTGCTGCTGGCCAGGAGAAGAGTCCACTTGAGTTGCACTCGACAGTGGCTCACAAGTGTGCTTGGTCAAATCAATTTGCGGTGCGTTTATTGAACTTGTCTGTGCCAATGACCAGCAGGCTGGCCTGCAGGCAGCCGGGTCCAGCTAGGTCCTGCCTGGCAGGATGTCAGCCACTTCGACTTGCACTTAACGTGCGATTGGCCGGCAGCTTGGCAAACTACAAGCAACAGCACACTTGAGAGCCAGCGCAGAGGCTGGGTGCAAAGAGCCTGCTCCAGCCAAGACCTTTGGATGGCAGTCAACTGTTTTGATTTAGGACGCACGTCGGCCAAGTCGAGAAGTAGGTAAGGCTTAAAGCAGCTCAAATTTTCTGTAAATTAAAGCAAGCGCCAAGAAGAAATCATGAGAGAAGCGGAACAGGAGCTGGAGCTGTGGCCGCACAATTCGCATGAAATTAATTGACCTGATTCAGTTTGCAGCTCGGCTTACAATTAATTACGCGCACACCCACCCGCACACACACATACACACTCAGACAGTGTGCTGCTGAAATTGAAGAAGCTTCGCTGTGCGCGCTGCCCGCCGCCAGAGGGCGCCAGCAGCGCGTGCACAGGTTCACTGTCAAAATTAATTACCCGCTGCTGGATTTTATTAAATAAAATGCTCAAAATGTATGAAAGACCCAAAAAATATCCGCGACGGCTGCTGCCGACTGAAAGTGGCAAATTCAGACAGCGTGCCACTTGCCACAGCCGTACCCGCAAATGTTTGGCTGGATGCGGGGCTGGCAGCGAGCCTGCAACCAAGTGGCCGCCGCAGCAATATGCAAGCAAATATTCTGAAGTGTTGATTTAAAGTGTTGCCAATGTACAGCAGAAAGTTTGTTTATGAAATGAAATTAACAGTTTGTTATCACATGCAACTGTGGAATTATGCCTCGGCACTGGATTAAAATTCCTTGCATCAGCAATGGCAAAAAGGCAACCAACAAAAAAGTAAAACTCAGCTTGAAGTATATGGAATCAAAAACAACTTTTAAATGCCTTTGACTTTGTGTGCATTACATAAATTGTTAAATCTGTGCTACAGCCAATTATGATTTGAGAGATGTGCAAAGTTTTCCTTTTATTAACTTACGTTTAATATTTGAAATTTTAGTTTTATGTTTAGTAAGCTTATGTCTTTGTGCAGTAGAAAATCTTTGCTAATTGGGATATGTAAAATAATTTTAATTAGTTTTTAAAAAGGAACAACATGAATTTTTAGATGTTATTGCATTTTGGACAATTTCGGCAATGCCAGAAACTTTTTTGTGTAAGCTTCCAGATTTTTATATCTTGCACGATTAAAGGGTAAATTTCATAAAAATTCAAATATAAAAAAAACTATAAAAAAATAAACATTTATATAAATGGTTTACTTTAAAATTTACCAATTAAATGTAAGTAGGAAGAGTATCTCTGGGTATTGTTTATAATTAAATAAGTAAAAAAAAATGTGCATGTCCAAAAAAATGTGAAGCGATTTTCAAAAAATATCTTAAACTTTGATTTTATAAATTTATAAGTCATTTTCTTTAGGTCATTTTCAAGCGTCTTTGGGTTAATTGAATTATTTTAAGAAAATAGTTGAGCAATTATGGAACATTTTCCCTATACTCCGCCCAACAAATTGCTAACCCTAACTCGTACATAATGTGCGTTCCATTGTGGTTGCCTTGCCGAGTGCATAACAATGTGGGAAATGTTTCCACGACTGAACCCATTAGGGTCTACCGCCAACATCATCTGACCAACTGAAGCGTCCCAGTTTAACAAGACCAACAACACGCACCAAGCCCACATTTTCAAAGCCAGCTCGCTGCTTGAAGTTCACACACACACGCACACGTACACACAAGCACACACAGACACATACCTGGAACGTTCACGCTCCTGCTCGTCCTCGTCCTCCATGATGTCCACATTGCCACTTGAGCTCAGCAGCGCCGACAACGTGGCTGCTGCAGTAGTTGTTGTTGCTGCTGCTGCTGTTGTTGCACCAACGCCAGCGCCACATACACCTGCGGCTATAAAACTGTTATCGGCCATTGTTGCTGCTGTTGTTGCCGTTGCCTTAATGCCGGCCGACAGTTGCGGACTGCTTGTTGCTGCCGTGTAGGTTAACAATGCAGGCATCCCTGTTCCTGTTGCAGTGCCTGTTGCTGCTGCCGCTGTTGTTGTCGCTGCTGAGGCTGCTGCTGCTGCTGCAGATAATGCATGCGGCAATAAATCATGCCTGCAGGATAAATCACTCGAGCCAGTTGCCGTTGCGCCCACAGTCAGCAGCGTATTGATTTCTGGCGCCAGCGGCTGCGTCACAAATTTGGCCCGACGCACAGCTGCAGCAGGACGAAAAATAAAAACACATACCACATGAGTTGGCAACGTGTTGATTTAATAATACTTTTTAAATAAATTTAAATGTGCACTTTTCTTTCTACAAAACCCAATAACAAAGCAGTCAACGAACTGTAGAGTAGAGACCAAAAAATAAAAAATAAAATAAAAATGAAGAAAACAAAAAGTTTTGCTGGCGACGCAACTTCCGGCAACTGAATTTGTTGGCCCCACATAGGCAGCACTGTAAAAATATATTTATATATAAACATGTTGCACTTAGTTAGGGAAATTATTTGTTTCTGCGCTTGCAAAAGTTAAGCGAGGAACAGCGCAACACAATATGTGGCGCTTGGTTTTAAATTCGCCAGCAAAAGTTTGGCAACGCCTGGCATGGGGCAACGTAATAGCTGGCCAGCACTGTATTTAGGGCTACCAGGTATTTTCGTAACAAACAAAAGGGGGAAAAAAACGAGTAAATTCTGTTGCTGCTGATGTGTGCAAAAGTTATTTGCCCTTATTTAAATGTCTTATCAACTGCTACAATATGAAGTCTTCTGAATTTTATCGTGCTTTGCTAACTTGATTAAAAAAGGGTTGTTAGCTTTTGCATTTACGTTATATTTATAGAAATACTGTAGCTCTGATCGCCAGAAGAGTAAAATATCGCCATACAAATATAAACAAAAAAAATGTTACTATATAAAAACTGCCTCGTTTTTATACTGTTTATTTGCAAAGAGAGTTGCCAGGTTTAAGTTTGACAAATATTTTAAGGCGAAAAGATATAAATGATCCTACTGCTATTTAGTTTCCTGGACAAATAATAATTTTAAATATATAAACAAAAATTTTCGATACGTTATTGAATATCCTTATCCTCGTATATCAAATATGACTTATTGATTTTCGATACTAACGAATGGTAGCCATATTTTGCAAGTTTTTCCTAATATACACACATATATTATGAAATCATTTACAAAAAAAGTATTTTCTATAAATTAATTTAGAAATGAATTAAAATAAAAATCCGATAAAAATTATTCTTTGAAAATATCGAAGTTGTTTAAATTTACATTGGATTTAATCAATTTAAATTCAGAAACTAGATATGTATATTAAATACTGCAGCTCTCATTGGGAATTCAATATGTTCGTTTTGACTTATTTAGTAGAGCAAAAGTCATATCATATCTGTATGGATAAATGGTCCACAAGCCATTTATATTTTTGCTCAACTTTAGTTGCGCAATTTGCAGTTCCGAAACGTAAATTTTTCATATCTCATATCAACTGGCCATTGCAAAAAGGAAGTAAAAAGCCGAAAGGAAGCAACTGTAATGGCATCTTTCACTTAGACCCGGCGCAGCTGCTGACAGAGCTCGCGTGGAACGCGTTGGGCTGTGGCCAGCACAGGACATGGCCAATTTGAAAATATTTACTTAAACTTGGATGGCACACACAACACGCACACAGACATGCACACACACACACTCACACTACCAGTCATTAGAGTGTTGAATGCATTTTGTACATGGCTGGGTGCAATGTGGTCGACAGTTTGCTGCAACTTTTTGTGGAGCGCTAATGGCGTGGTCAACCACTGGGTTACAGGAACTGAGTGTCCAGGCCGAGAGTGCTTGCCGGCAGGACAATGACCACCCTTTGAATGTCCGAGTCCTTTGTGCTACATAAAAACAGCTGAAATAATTAGGGTGCATATTGAAATTGGAATCGATGCAGCTATTTACACATATTGACTGCAATTTGTAGCCGGCAATCATAATGGAAGTCCGGACACGGCGAGGACTCGCCGCTTGTGTAAATCTGTCACGTGCTCTCAACGCAAAGTAAAATAAGTTTAATGAGTTTTGC